GCCTCGAGCTTCTTCAGGTCACGACCACCTGAAAATCCTCGGTTCAACTTCTCCTTGGAGATGCCAACTCTGGTCTGGCGCCATGACAAGAGGCAGTCAATGGCGTCTTGTTCTTCTATGGGCTCACCCTCTTCATCAAGTTCTGCCATGAAGACCTGGTCGTCGTTCACTCGAAGATGTCCTCCTCCTCTGAGGCCTCAGCGATCTGCACGTTTGTCATCTGCTTTGATGCCTGGTACAGTCGCTCAGGGTAAGTCGTCCTGAGAGCTGCTGAGACATCCTTCTCCTCGTAGCTTTGCCGTGCTGCTGCCATCACCACCGCCTTCTTCTCCGTGGGAAGTCGACAAAAGCGCATGAGGAGATAACCACGCGCCACTGATGGAAATCGGATTCCTTCCGATTGGGCCGCAGAGAACGCCGCTCGGACTCATCCAGTGAAAGTGGCTGTCGACTCACCTTTGACCAGCTTGAGCTCGAAGATATTATCGAGCACTCGCCCGATCTTGTCGTGACTTGCTTTCTCTGGGAACCTTTCGTCCAGTGTCTGGATGAGGAGGTCATGTCCACCTGGGCCATCTGTTTCGTCCGGGGGCGTGTGGAGCGGGCTGCCATGCGTCTCTTCAGCTACTCCACGCGCTTTCTGAACGCTCAGGTAGGCCCGACTCCACCGTTTCCAGCGTCTCAGGGTCTGTTCCATCTCCTGAGAACCTTGTCACAGCTGCTTCTGGGCGACCACCATCTGTCGACGAAGATGCCATCTCACTTCCGAGCGGGCCCGGTTTCCCGGGCTCCGCTACCAGTTAAAACTGGTCTCTCTTCTCTCACGTGCCCTTCCTAAGACACAGCCACCGAAGTCTTTTCCGCCACCAAACTCAGCCTCCCATCATGCTCCCTGTCACTCACGTCAGAGTGAATGGCGATACTTGAGACTGTAAAATGTCACAGACATGTCGAACGAATCGTATGACCTTGCCAAAGAAGTGACATTCACAAACATGATTTGCACATCTCCGAACCTCTCCTGGACCCTGGAGACCTTCTCATCCAGCCTCACATCCCAGGTGCTCATGCCTGCACGTGTGAGTCGGCCATAGGCTTCCAGTCGCGTTCGCGATTGCCCTCCTCGGGAGAGTGTGCTCATATTCTCCTGCTTCCTTGGCACACTTAGCAGAGGCATAGCACAAAAAAGCAAATACCAGGGCTGCACAAGGGCAACGGAGAAAGAGTTCCAATGTGGGTGACGAAGTCTTCTTGAAACGGCTTCCGATGATGATTTCTTGATGTGTTTTGGATTGCAGCATTTGCCATGCATCTGTTGTTCATCTGGCAAATGAAGGAAAACAAATCAATCAGAAGACTTCACATGATACTGAGCCATCAAGCTTCAGCATCTCTTGCACATTCCGAAGTGGCCCTCCAGCAGGCTTCTGGGGTGATCCTGACACAGTGCAGGCAGGCAAAGCATGAAAGAAGTCTCCTTCGAAGCATTCCAAGAGAGAAGAACGAAAGAAAGGAAGGGACATGAAGGAAAGAGAAAAAGGTCAAAGGTCTTGTTTTTTTCCACTAGCGCGAGCTATCCTGCGTGCACTTAAGCCTACTAGTAGCATAGCTACTTAGTTACGTAGCCCTGAAGTAGCCGCCTACTTAGTTTTTTTTAGCGCGGGCCACGCCCCAAAAACCTACAGCGGAAGTCCGGCCTTTATACCCTAGAGTCCGGCCCTTGCAAACATGAAAAACGTGACTCAACTTGCGAGAAGGGGCACCTTCGATGTTTCAAAATCGGCCACCTTCGATGTTTCCATTTTCCTTAAAGCCTTTCACCGAGATTCTGGAAGATCTGGAGGGTTTGCTCTTCGGTGGCAACGCCTGGTGAAAGGCGCTGTTAGGTTGGAGGAACCTCGTAGCAAAAGGAACCTACTAGCTATGGCCTCCAACCTAAAGCGGAGAGCAAAGAATGTTTGTTAAGTTTCCCAAACGAGCTAGACACCAAATCATTAGTGTGAGCGCTTCTTCAAGGAAGCTTCCCCCCGCCACAATTTAGAGCGGCAGGGTGAGCTTCCTTGAAGAAGCGTGAGCTATCCTGCGTCCAAGGTAGTAGCGTTCTTGTAGCTACCAGCTACCTAGCTTCTAGCTAGCTACTACCTCTACCGGCCTGCCTCCCCCCTGGGCTTAAAAGAAGAATCAAAATGTGTTTGTTGGTTTGTAGATGTTTGTAGGTCGCAGTCCAATTAGGGCGCACATAGGGCCGGTCCAAGACCCATGGGGCAGCAAAAAGCCGGACCAATTAAGGCCATGGCAACACTAGTTGAACACTATATGCACCTACATGAACCAAACAAGTGAGCCAACATCAACTAGCTGATCAAGCCTCTGGTTGCGTTCAACACCCTTCACCTTTGCCTCACAGTCAATCAGCCACATACCCCTTGCTACTGTGAATCCTTGATATCCTTGTCCCTACACTTATAGCACGTGTCAACCCAAGAGCTGACAAGAAAACACGGAAACCGGCCCTGCCCTGATATCCCTTTCCTCAGGCTCTCTAACGTAACGTAACTGTCTCTCTTTCAACCGCGCCACCGCGTCCAAGCGCCGGAACAGTGCGGTGGCCGCCAGGGTGGAGTAGGGTCCGGTGCCCTCCTCCGTCCGCTGGGTGCGGCGGGGCAAACCCTTTTCCGCCACGACGATGGAGGTCGACATGGCGACGGAGTCCACGGAGTCCACGGTCTTCTTGAACCAAAAGAGTATGATCAGAACCTGCCACCAAATGGTGATGTGAGCAGCACAAGTGCTCTCTCTTTTGAGGCCAGCAACAGGCCGGGAAAAGATGTGATGAATCTTGTGCGCATTGGTATACAATTATTTCGTACATCGTGACATGTGATGCAACTGGTTCACGATCCAACTCTGGGAAGCCGCAGGCACTTTTTTCACATCTCTCCAGTGCATCGTTCGAAAGGACACACATGCAACACGTTGCTGTGCATTGCGGCGCATTGCGATGCAGGCGTGCACAGCTTTGCTGAGGTCTCAGTGTAGCTGAAGTTTCGCAAGGCAAACCAAGGTCTTCCAGTTCACCTGGCTGCACTTTCAAGGGAGACCGACATGTATCGTTGTGAGCATTTGAATCTATTGAAGATCACTCAACTAGGACCAAAAGAAACTAAAATGGGTGAGCTGCAGAAACCACCTAAACTGAAGAAGGAAAACCCCACCAAAACCCATTGGTTGGCTCAAGTCTGCAGCTTGTCACGAGCGCACTACCAATGCACAAACCTGAGCGCAGGAAGCGCGAAACACATTTTCCTGCGTGAGAAATCGTGATCGGGGAAGTTGCGATGATCTATTGCCCGCCCTCCATCGTTTGCAAAATAAGGGCCGATAGTCTATCTGAGAAGTGCTTGTACGACTTGCTGGTATCCCTGCCCGCACAGGTGCATGGTCCGCAGCCCGTTAAAATCCGCGACCTCAACCTCACTGGTCTTCTCTCAAGTAGGAGCAACAAGCCAATCCAAGGGCAGCCACAACGAACAACTATCATGAAGTTGATGTGTTGCAAGGCAACAAGGCAAGTGTCAAGATATTGTCAAGATGAATATGTTCTTCGGTCTTTGAGTATCGCAGAAAATTCCTGTCATTGACCACTTGCTTGGCTCGGGGGGAGTTACCCAGAAGAGCACCAGCGGCAGAAGCGATCCCGGGCCTCCGGGGAGGCATCCGGCAAGGCGATAAGCGACACACCTCATGAAGAAACAAAAGGTTCATGTCATGTGAGGCATGTCAGGGTCTACTTACAATGATCAGTAATTAGTCTACCAGCTTTAAGCCAAAAGATACAAAACTACCTGCATGTCTGTCGCTGGGAAAGGCTGGGGGAACTTCTTAAGACTCTTGGCCGCCATATAGCCCGCGGACTCTTGTGTTACAAACATTTGGTAGACTTCAGCAGAACGTAATCCAGGTGGCAAAGTTGTGATTATTGACAACACTTGATGAGCTTTGTCACTTGGGCTTGGAGGAATACCGCAAAAACATGTGATTCCATGTTAAGCATCCTGAGTGTAGCAAGTGCCTTCGTCCAGGCGCCCGAACAACGCAGTGGCCGCATGCTCGGATACAGGCAAGCCATGAGCCATGCGGCATCAGATTGGACGTCAAGGCTTGGGACACCTTTGCAGCCTTGGGCCTCACGTTGCTGTTGCACGCTTTGAAAGAGGATGTGTTTCGGTGCCCTGTTCACCTGGAGCGGAAGTTGCCCGAAAGCTCCTGTATACATCGTTGTCTGATTTGCTCCTAGTAGCGATGCCCTTGCTCCTAGTAGTACGGCCAGGAGTCCCTAGTAGCGTCCTTGCTCCTAGTAGCGATGCCAGGAGCCCCTAGTAGAATCATAATAAGCCTTTGTGTTGCATCAAAGTGCCAAACATCTTGCACAATTTCTCCCATGGATGTTACTGCTACATCGGCTTCCATTTCGTGTCTGCGCCAGAACCTGAGCCAAGCAAACAAATAGATCTTGAATCTGATGCCGCCGCTTGCTGTATCAAAGTCGAAACCTCTTCGGTAGAGACATGGGATCAATATAGTGATCCAAAGGACGGCACTCCGCATAGCGCCACTGCGAATGAAGCCAGACCCCCCATCGTAACATGCTACCACACCAAAACGCTTTTGTTCTGTAGCTTCTTGTTACTACTAGTAAGGCACTTGTTACTACTAGCGATGCACTTGTTCCTACTAGCAAAGGAATCTACTAGGAATGCAGCCGCACTTCCAACAAGACTTGCAAAGAAACATCTTCTTATTGGAAGCAAGAGGTTTGTAAGAGGTGTTAAGTAGCTGCGGGGCTCAAAAGCCTGAAGGCTCGGGCGAACGGGCGCCCAGGGCGGGTTGTGCACCTCCACGGTGCAGGTCCGTGTCAATAAGGGTCACGCCTCCGTGTGGCCCCCCTTGGCACTGTGACCTGTCGGTGCTGTGGTCCGAAAGGTGCATCGGTGTCTGCCATGGAGAAGGCTCTAGCATCTGCAGAGGAGCTCCTGTGTGATCCGCTTAAGGCCAGGGTTCGCTCCGTCCTCATCAACTGCTCCACTGCTGGTCCCATGCTGCATTTGGGTGGAAAGGTTGTGGTGAGTGGCGAAGTCATCTCCGTCAAGGATGATTTGCTGGACATTGAGGTCTTCCCTTTTGTCCCCTTTGCTGGATTTGTGGCTCCAGGAGAGGAACGCTTGACAATGAAGATCACTATGCCTGAGCTTGCTTCGCGCTCCATCAAGTTGTCTGCAGGAGTTCATGTGACATGTGCTGGAGAAGCGACGTGTTGGGATCATTCCTGCATTGTTTTTGCTGCCGGTGCTACAATTTGTTTCCGACCTGAGTATGAGCAGTACATGCCATGGAACTTTGTACACCTGTTTGCAGGTTCCTTCTCAGGTTGGACGCATGCTACAGCTGCGCTTGACAAGATTGAGAAGGACATTACAGTTGGACAGGAGATTTCGGTGGACTATGATGAAGAAGTGATGAAGCTATGGAGCCTCCGGACCCATGCCAAGGTGCATTGCTGTCCCATTGATGCTGCGACCCCATGGCCACGCTCTCAGCAGGTTAGTATTTTGGGAAGCGTTGATGACTGGACGGTGCTCAAATGGCATGAATGATTCAAATGGCATCGCCTTCCTCGACGCTATTGAACTGCTAGCTATCTCTCGGCCTCTCCTCATTGCTGGAGAGTGTAGTGATGAAATCACAACACACCAGCACTTTAACATTTTGGAAGTGCTTTTTGCTGCTTGTGGTTTTAAGAAAACCTGGACGCAGGTCACATCGCTTCATGAGCTGTCCGATCACTGCCGCACTCGATGGCTTTCGACATGGGCCCGTGCTGACATGAATCCATGTTTTGTGGGTTTCTCATTTGCCCTCAAATCTATTCCTCGCACTCCATGGTGTGAACCGTGTTACCAGTTCCGCATCCCTTCGGTGTGGGCAAGCCAATTGGTCCTGTCTGAATCAGAGTATGCTGTGTATAATGACCCAGCTCTCTTTCCGGGGAAGAAGGCCTTTGGGAACAAACCAGGGGGTAACCAAGTGTTATGGGCACGTGTGCCATCCGCTTCGCACCCATTGCCAACCTTGTGCGCTGCCTACACGTCGCAGCACACCCTTGCTGTCCAACATGTGCAGTCACGTGGGTTGTACACCTTCCTCGATCACACCAGTGCTGGGTTTGCGTTCTTTGACCCCGCTCGATTCTGTGGACTTTTTGGGGCGGTGAATGACTGTGCCTTTTCCACAAAGATCCAGCTTGCCTTTCGGGGTGTTGGGAATGCTATTGCAACACCGCATGCCATCCTTGCCATTGCGGTTGCCCTGCACTCTGTTGGTCAGGCCCAGGTTGATCCTCTCCAAGCGGTTCGACAAGCCTGGGCTTTGCGATTGACCACGAGGAATGCTGTTTTGTTCGTGAGTGGGGACTTCATTCACTTGGTCCGTGCGACACAGCTTTTGCAGTGGATTTCGCTTCGGCCTCCAGTTGAGCCTGACCCTGATCGGAATGTTCTTCTCTTGAGTGGATGCCTTCATGGGCTTCAATTCGAATGCTGTGTCCATGACCATGTCACATGCCATGATGCTGTGTGTCAGGTGTTTGCCGGCCCGAGTGATCTCCTTGCCCAGGTCTCATTTCGTGCGCCTGATGAAAAGCCGCATTCGCATACACCGATTCGAGCCCTCACCCACGTCCCAGAAGGGTGGGAAGTCACCATTGCCGGCATTTCGATCGGAAGATGCCATGTTGCGCCTCGTACTAAGGTCATCGATGATGCCAGAGCTTCCAGCATTGGCCCAGCTGTTCGACTTCCATTCTGCTTCGGCCCCGCCACGGAGTTTGATCGAGCAGTTGAAATTTCGTGGGTTCGTGACCTGCTATGCCAAGCAGCTGTCATTAACGATGACCATCGGAACAATGTGTCAGTGATATTCCTGCATTGGGGACTACAGTTGTGATGTCCAAGTCTTTGGACCAATTGGACAGATCATGTTGCTCATCCAGCGAGTTCAGCAAGCTCATCCAGAATGTCGCCTTGCCCGGACCTGCACGCTTGGAGGCATTGCAACGTCGTTCGTGATCTGTGCTGACATTTGTTGTGGCGAGCAGGAAGTCCAGGTCATTTTGCATTGTGAAGATACACAGGAAAGCAGACTCGCATCCCTTCCAGTGACGTTCCCGATTGATGCTGAGTTTGAGGTATCGCATGCCAAGTATGCAGTGAACACAATCAATACTGCACTCTGTGTTGAAAGCGTTGCAAGCTGCAAAAAAGATGATGTCATAGTATTGCGACCAGTTCTCATTGCGGCAGGGGGGCATCACGCTTCACCTGGCCCAAGGCCAACCTTGGATGCCGGCGCACCATTTCATGATCGTGCTGAATTTATGTGTAATACTCTTGGTTGGATGGCAACTGATGAGATGGCAGCAGTCACGCAATGGATCCAGTGGAGTCAGCATCAGGTTCGATTCACGCAGCCCCTCATGTGGGACCCAAGTGCCTCTGACTTTGATGATGTACGAGCAGAGATCAACATTGGCAACAACCTCATGACAATATTGCCTATTCTCATGGGCAACCATTGGATTGCTGTGGAAGTTCTTCGTCAAGAGGATGTGACTCAGCTTACCCTGCTGCAGGTTCCACCAGAACAGCAGTCTGCTCTGACTTTCATTGTGGCGAGGATTTTGGACATTGCTCCCCATCGGCTGGATGTGCAAGTTGGGCAGCAGCAGGCGCCACAGCATTTGTGTGGGTGGATGCTGGTGTATCGATGGCTCACACGATTGAATCTACAGCACCAGCTGCAGGACATCTCCACCCAGTATCCATTGCCGCAGAATTATGCTGATGTCATCGAAATGTGCCTGCAGTCTTCTGTCGAGGATTGGAGAAGTGCAAGGATGGATCAAGATGTTGCTGTCATTGCCTTGCGGCTGCGCCGCAATTTTCTGTGGCATGTTGCTCGAAGTGAACATCAAGGTCTCCCCAACCAGCAGACAGGGCTTGTGACGGCCTTTCCTGCGCCACATCAAGTTGTGATCACAACGGTGCCGGAGGATCCCAATCCGCAGAATCGAGCTGATGCGGCAATTCATGCCAGGTTTGACCATTTTCATCGATTCCAAGGCTGGACAGGTTCAGATGAGATGGATTTTGCATTGGATTTGCTCCGTCCACATCATCCGGCCACCTTGTTCTGTGCACCAGCGATCTGGCAACCTGCTCAGAACATGCTGCATTACCTCAATGACATCATTCCTGATTTGCGAGCTCACCGGCACATTGTGTGGCTGGTTGCCACTGGCAACCACTGGGTGCAACTTGAGCTCTATGCTCTCACTGACCACACTGCGGTCTATTTCACTGTCCCACATGCTGACCGTCAGCGGCTTCACCCGCTGTTGATGTTTGCAGTTGCAGCAGCTGAGACAGACTTGAATGAGCTTACAGTCGACTATGTTGATCAGGATGCACCTCCTGACATGTGTGGATATCATCTATTGAATCAGCTGTTTCATCGACTGATGTTGCAGGTAGGCCCACTCGGAGATGCCCAATTTCGTGGCCTCAGCATTTCTCGCTTTGTGGCAGAAATTCACGAGACTCGCAATGAAGCTGGTTTGGTGTGGCGGCAATCAGGAGCGTGTGATGAGCTGATTGAATTTGCCAACAATTTGCGATGCTGGTTTATCGTCAGGGTCATTGAGAACCGCTTTCCAGTTCATTACATTGCTGCCGGTGCGGTTGATGCTAACATGGCACCTGCTGAGGGCACTCAGAGCAAGCCGGCCGAGGCTTCTGGCAAAGGAGGTAGCACTGCTTCTCAATCAGGTCCGACCCTTGGTTGGTCAATGACCCGTGGGCCAAGCGACCACCGCGCCCACAACAGTCGAAGTGGGAGGATTTGACCCTGCAGGCACCATTGCCGTTCGTCAATCAAGCTGATCAACCCCTGTGTCAAACGCACCGATTGCAACTTGGACCATGCAAAAGTGGGGTTGTCCTCACTACCAAGACTCATTTGCAAGAGATCTCTAAAATTGGCATCACCACAGAGTTGGTAGCGTTGATTCCTGCAACAGATTCGCTTGAGCTTTCGCATCTCACAAGTCGGCTCGAAGGACCTTTCGAAGTGTCACTTTTTGATCCTACTGCCAAGATTGCCTATAAGAGGCTTGTCCATATGATTGTGTTTGCTGGCAAAATCCGCTTTCAACTTCCAGAAGCAAAGTACAAGATGACAACACCAGCAATTGCTGAACTCGTGCTAGAGATTGATTCGCGATTGGTCAGCAAGAGCGATTTTGACAAGATCAAAGAATCGCCAATCATGATGTTCAAAAGTATGCTACATGAAGCGCTGCCGACGATGCAGGCGACTGTCACTTTGTATGGTTACCGTGTATCTCATCACCCTGGTGCTAGTAAGCAGGAGGCTCAGTTGCAGTGTGTCCTTAAAGCACCATTTGTTGCAAGAAAGCAGCTGCTTGAAGCCAGTGGCGCAACATGCCTGCTGATTCGTGATTACCTGGAAAAGGGCAAAGAGGCTGGTGACACTACCATTTTGCCTCGCTTCTGGCCGATTTCGTCGCAAGAGCTTCAGAAGGTTCGCATCACAATTCAGGGGACTCCTGGAGTTGCAGGCATTGTTGCTGCTCGCCGTGGATTGGCTGTGCGAGTTTGGTGCGATCAAATCAAAGCGGCTCGCGAGAGTCTTCTTGCAGGTGATGCGCGTCTCGTTCCTGAGAACATGCACATTGTGCCCAAGCTGTCGCTCCAACTCTCAGGCTGGCCAGCAGCCACAGATGCGGCACACGTTGTGGCATCAACCATTGCTGCCATTGGACTTCCTGTGATTCCTATGCGTACCTATCGAGCCGCTGGTGTGCACACATGGGTCGTCACAGCTCAGGAGCATCCGAAAACAACTCGATTTACTCTCGAGATCAACAAGGATGTTGTTGAAATTCTGGTGCAAGAACTTGGTCAGAATGCCCCTGTTCGCTCCGCTGCCAAAGGGAAGTCCAAGGGCAAATCCAAAGCCCCCTCGAAGCCTGAGGAAGCTGTGCGTTCATGGTCGACCAAGACCCCAGGCACCGGACCACGACCTGAAGATGGCCGCCTTGATCGGCTTGAAGATAGGTTCGAGAAGCTTGAAGCACGCCAATCCCAGTTCGAAGGTCGAGTAGATACCAAGTTTGATGCGATCCAGGACAGCCTTCGTCAATTGCTCGCAAACACCAATCCACGGCCAAGGGAGGCCACTGGTGAGAGCCCGCCTACAAAGCATGTGAAGATTACCTGACAGCCCCGCCATGGGCCTTTGTGTGTCCTTAGGCCCCGTGTCTCTGGATTTTCGTTGTGTTTGTGGTTTGCTCTGGTTCTGTTGAGTGGGCATGGACTTTTCTTTGGCCCATGGCTTACACTTTGCTTTTTCCGTTATATCTTGTGGGTGCACTGGCTGATGAGCACACTTTCGGTTGTGGACTTCACTTGGC